TGGTCCGTCTCTCCTCCCCTCCCCCCCCGCGGTCCCCTGCCGCAAACGTGCCTCCCGCTGCCGCGAGCCAGAGGCACAGGTTTCTGTGCAAACCCTGTCCCTGCGCCCGCGTGGGACAGGGAAGGAGATGGCGTGGTCCTGCTGCTGCACGGGCGCCTGTCCTTCGCTGCGGTGACAGCGTCACCCACGCTGCCACGTCAGCCGGCATGACCGATGCCTGGAGGGTGCTGCTGACGGTGCGCGCTCTCCCCTTTTCCAGGCAGCCTTCCTTGGGCAGAGGGGACTGATGGAGGATGACTTCCTCACCAAGGTGCTGGAGGGCATGGCCTTCGCTGGCTTCGTGACCGAGCGGGGGGCCCCGTACCGCTCGATCGACGTGTTTGATGAGGTAAGCGGCAGTTTGGGAGCAGCACCCCCCTGCCTGGCCATTGATGCGTCCTTGCTCTGCTCGGCTCTCCCTGCCCTCGAGGGACTGAGCCGGGGATCTGCCGTGACACTCCGGCTGCAGCGCTGCGCTGGGGGACGGAGCCGGGGTGTGGGAAGGGTGGCCGGGTCCCGCTGCTCCTCTCACCTGCCTCTCCTTCTCCCAGCTTGTGGCTTATGAAGTGAAGCGCATGCGTGCAGAAGAGGGGAACAAGCAGAAAATACTGCGGCACATCAAGGAGCTGGCGGAGAAACTGTACAAAAACGTGAGTCCTGGAGGCCCGGGCGCAGGAGGGGGAACCTGGTCAGAGCGGGGTGCGGGGCAGGGAGAGCCTGGGTCGCAGCCCCGGCCACTCTGCTCTTCCTCCGTAAGCTCTTGCTGGAACTGGTGCTCGCGGTGCACGATCCTGTCCCACCCTGCGCTGTCACGTGTGGCAGGGGCACCTGCTGATGGGCCCAGAAGTGTCTGGCCTGGCGTGAGCTGCTCCCAGGAGTGGGATTCCTCGTTTTCAGGTGGCCTGGGCGTCAGGCACTCCGTGCCTTTGCTCCGGAGCAGCCGCTGCGCTTGTCGTCTGACCTGGGGCAGGCCAGCAAAGGGTCCTTCTGAAAGCAGAGCAGCGCCTGTGGGGCCGTCGGCCGTCTCAGGACGGGGCTCCTGGATGGTGCTTTGCTCGCTGCTGTGTTCAGGGCCAAAGCGAGGTGTCCTTGTGGCTCCTGGGAGCAGAGCGTGCCAACACCATTGCCCGACAGCCTGCCCTCAGGGCTGCAGGTTTCTGGGGGTTGTAGGTAGCGACCGGGAGAGCGTTTGGCCTCAGAGCAGCAGAGGTTGCTGAAGGATGCCTCGCTGGGGCTCCTGCCCTGGGAGAGGAAGTGTGATGACCGCATGCCTGAAAACAAACTGCCTTTGCTGTGCCAGGAGAACCCGTACCCCGCAGTGACCATGCACAAGGTGCAGAAGCCCACGGAAGGCTGTCACCTGCGCCTCCACCAGAAGCCTTTTCCCCGTTTGGATGAGGGGACGGTGCAGTGGATCATCGACCAGGCCACTGCCAAGCTGCAGACGGCCCCTCCTGCTGTGAAGGCAGAGAAGAAATGCATGGTGCCATCGGGACCGCCCATCGGTACGTGTGCGCAGAGGGCCTTTCCCTGCGGTGAGAAACCCTGCTCAGGAGGAGCTTTACCGTGGCATAGCTGGCTGCCTGTCACACTACGGCACATCCGAGGGTCCCTCGTGAGCAAAACACGGGTAGCGCTGCTGTTTTGGAGAAGCAGCGGCACTGTCCCCATTAGCTTCCGCCCCTCGGGCTGCTTAGAGCTCCCTGGAGCGTATCAGCCAGCATGAGGGGACGGCCAAAGACCCCGCAGTGTTCTTCCCTCGTGAGCTCTTGGAGCCTAGAGCCTTGCCCATGCCGAGCAGGGGAGGGGGCACCCATCTCGCCCTACCCAGGGGTGAAAGCCCTGCCCTGACTGAACTAAGGGGCGATTCTCTCCCCAGCTGCCATCATGGAGCGTAATGGCAATGCCCTGGCCAACAGCGCCCGTCGCCTGGAGGTGGTCAGGAACTGCATCTCCTATGTCTTTGAGAACAAGATGTTAGAAGCCAAAAAGGTGAGAGTGGCTCCTGAGGAGCCCGTGGTTGAGGGGAGGCGGCGGGGGTTGCTCTGCCTCTCCTCCGTGGCAGACATTCCCTGCCCATGTCCAGATCTTTGCTGACAGCTCTGTTCCCATACGTTCACATGTTTTCTCAGCGCTTGTTCCCCCTTGCTGTGTCCCTGGGCTTTTGGCTGATGGCTCCACTGCGTCAGCTTCGCGCTATTTCTGCATCTCCCAGTGCCCCCCGGGGTCTGTCCCCTGCAGATAACCGGGCTGGGGTCCTCCCCTGCCTTGCTGAGCAGGGACCTCCCTGGAGCTGCGCTCCAGCGGGCCAGGCGTGGGATTTTGCTCTGGTTTGCCTCCACGTCCGCGGACAAACTGTGAACACCCTGGTGTCAGCCAACACAGTCAGAATGTGCAGCCCCTCCTGCACCTCCTCGTGGGCTGCCCTTGAACTCGCCGTCTGACCAGAGCTCCGCTGGGCCCCGTCTTTCTACTCCATGACTTCTTCTTTCCTCCGCAGTTATTCCCTGCTGTGCTGCGTGCCATGAAGGGCCGAGCAGCCAGGCATTGCCTGACCCAGGAGCTGAACCTGCATGTGCAGCAGAACCGGGCAGTGCTGGATCACCAGCAGTTTGATTTCGTAATCCGCATGATGAACTGCTGTTTGCAGGTAGGAGAGCTCCGGGAGAGCGCGTGTCTTCGGAAGGAGCTTGTCTCCCCTTGCAGGAGACAGCGTGGTGCAGGGGTCGGAGTAGGTCTGGGGGGGCTGGCAGTGAATCCTCTTGTAACCTTCCCCAGGACTGCACTGCCATGGATGAGCACGGGATTGCAGCCGCTCTCTTGCCACTGGTCACCGCTTTCTGCCGAGTGAGTATCTGTGGTATCCTGACCCTCTCACACAGCCCTCGCAGACTCGGAACTCCTTGGGGGGCCGCAGAGGCTGGCAGGCTGAAGGACTGAGAGCCAGTGCGGCAGCCGGGCTGAGCGCACATTGTCCCCTCGGTGCTTCTCAGAGTAGAGGGTCCTGTTCAGTAGCTTCCCACCACTGGCACGGTTGGCCAGGCTGGCTGCGCCGGTCTCTGGGCCCAGGGCTCCCCAGATGGCTGGGAACACCTGCGGGAAGGGCGCTCAGAACCTGGGGCTGCTCTGAAGAGAGCACTCTGAAGTGCTCTGACCAAAAATTCTGCCTCCCGTAAAGCACCTGTAGCGTGAGGCCCTGCGAGGCTCTGGGTGGGTGCTGGGCAAATCTGAGAAGAGCTTGCAAGGAATGCTTGGAGGAGCTCTGATGCAAGCGTCCCTCCTGCCAGCCCCAGGGTGCGTTGCCTGTCCCGGCAACAGGCTGGAGCAAGGATTGCCTGGAGAGGAGAGCTTGGCACAAAGGCCATGTTTGCATGAAACTCTTCCACCTTCTACTTCCTCAGAAACTGAGCCCGGGCATCACGCAGTTTGCCTACAGCTGCGTGCAGGAGCATGTGGTATGGACCAACATCCAGTTCTGGGAGGCCATGTTCTACTGCGACGTGCAGAACCACATCCGAGCCTTGTACCTGGACAACAACGAGGAGAACCACACGGATGAGGTGAGGAGGTGACAGCAGTGCCGGTGTCCCTGGAGAGCCGCTGCGCAGGAGCAGCTCTCCGCAAAGGTCCACGGGCTGATAAGGACGCTGAACCAGCCTGAGGGACTGCATCCTGGTTCTGGGAGATTCCCGTGGGAACAGTGGGGTTCTGAAGGCTGTGGCAGGTCTCCTGCCTGTGCAGACGACTGACATCTCCTTCCAACTCCTTCAGGAGAGCACGGAGGGGCCGCAGGAAGCCAAGTCTGCCCTGGAGATAGCGTCGGAGCAGCTGAGGCTCTGGCCCACCATGAGCCGAGAGAAACAGCAGGAGCTGATCCAGAAGGAGGAGAGCACCGTTTTCAGCCAGGCCATCCACTACGCCAACCGCATGAGCTACCTGCTGCTGCCTCTCGACACCAGCAAGAACCGCCTGCTACGCAGCTCCGGGCTGGGGGATGTGGAGAGTGTCAGCAACAGCTTCGTCACCAACAGGTGAGCAGGGCTGGGAAGCTTGGCGGGGCCGCGCTGCGGGGACACCAGAGCAACCTGAACTGGGGACGGGAGCTCCTTGGTGCGGTACCTGGGGCATCTAGGTCGTTCAGCTGCCGTCAGGATTGATGCAGGTTGCAGTGCCCAGGGCTGTTTCATATCAAGAGCAGAATCTCTCCTGGGTTCATATTGAGAGTAGAAACTCCCTTGGGCTCTGCCCGGCATGGGCTGCAGCAGAGGAGAGACGTTCTGGGTTAACCCTTCCCTACTCCTGTACGGCAGCATCGCTGGCAGCGTGGCTGAGAGCTATGACACGGAAAGCGGATTTGAGGATGCAGAGAGTTCCGACGTGGCCAACTATGTGGTGCGATTCATCAACCGCTTTGTGGACAAAGTCTGCACGGAGAGCGGAGTCACCAACGAGCACCTCAAGGGGCTGCACGTCATGATCCCTGGTAATAGGCGTTGCAGCGGTGCTGGGGAGCGGGCGGCCGCGTGGTCTCGCTGGGAATTCTTCCGACCAGCTCGGGGGTCTGCTCAAGAGACGGTGCTGCGAGAAGCAGTGGGAAGGCCAAGCGAAGGCACGCGCAGCGCTGCAGGGCACGTTGGCAGCCTGATGGGTGGTGTGTAGGACAGGACTCGGTTTGCAGTCTCTTAACTTCACGTTTGTCCGCAGATATTGTGCAGATGCACATAGAGACACTGGATGCCGTGCACAGGGAGAGCAAGAGGCTTCCTCCCATCCAGAAGGTAGGGACCTGGCCCACTGCACTTGGGGGGAAGGTTCTGGTGCTGGGTGGGGCTAACAAGCCCCCTTCCGAGGGCTACGTGGGCCTGAACTTCCTATTGCACATCCCCGTAGCCAAAGCTGCTGTGCCCCAACCTGTTGGTGGGTGAGGAGCGCGTGATGGAGGGGCTCCGTGTGTGCCTCATGCCTGATGGACGGGACGAAGCTGCTGGAGGGAATATTGGTGGTCCACCTCTCCTTCCCGCAGAAGGAGCCATCTTCCTCACCACTTACCGCATCATCTTCAAAGGCACTCCTACGGACCCCCTGGGTAAGGGTCTTGTGTGCACCACGTCCTCTGTCTTCAGGGGTTGGTGATGCCTGGGGAAGGGGTGGCTGGTAGCTCTCCTGGAGCAGTGGCTGCAGCTCATCTTGCTGCAGGAGCTGATGATGAGGGCCTCCGGTGCTCGCCTTGGGTGAGCGACCGGCCAGCACCAGGCCTTGCTAGGGGTTGCTGCAACCACCACAAGCTTGGTGGTTGCTCTACAAAAGGGGCGGTTGCTCTTGCTCTCCACCTTTGGTAGATGATAAATTACCCGTGCCCATCCTAGGCATCACCTACAAGTCGCCGTGGGCTGGCTGTAGTATGTCTAACCTGTTTCTGGCTGCCTTATCCTACGGGGGTCTGTGTGGTGATGGCCACCGAGGGTGGTCCAGTGCAGCCCGGCCTTGTGCCGGGCTGAGGCAGTGGATGTGGCTAACCTCTTCCCATGCTTGCGCCCAGCGGGGGAGCAGGTGGTGATCCGATCCTTCCCCATCGCCTCGCTGACCAAAGAGAAGAAGATCAGTATCCAGGCCCAAGGGGATCAGTTCATCCAGGAGGGCTTGCAGCTGCGCTCATGCACATTCCAGGTGAGACGGCGTGGGGCTGTGGGCTGCCCCTTTGCACCGCACTGCCTCAGCTGAGGAGCGCATTGCAGGTTCGTGGCCGTGGCTGGCACCATCCCTTGGGACGAGGCACTTGTAGCCCGGGCTGACGTGGTTTGGGGGTAGTTGTCGTGAGGGGACCAACGACAACCTCTAGCAGGTGACAGTGCACCTGAAGGGATGGAGCTGGAGGCCCCCTTGCAGAGTAGGGAGCAGGCTGTGGTCCATAGAGTCATAGAATCATGGAATCGTTTAGGTTGGAAAAGACCTTTAAGATCACCCAGTCCAACCATTAACCTAACACTGCCAAGGCCACCACCAAACCAATTAAGGGTAGGGTAGCAACCCCACACCTCCTGGCTTGGTGGCTGGATCATTTTTAATGAAAGTAAAAACTAGGAATCGCTAAGGTTGGAAAGGATCTCTAAGATCATCAGCCCAACCGTCACCCCAACACCCCCATGCCCACTGAACCATGGCCCCCAGTGCCACCTCTGCCCGTGTTTTGAACCCCTCCAGGGCTGGGGCCTCCCCCACCTCCCTGGGC